TGCCTGGTGGGTCCTTCTGATCCTGCAGATCCTGTGAGCGAAGTGCAGTGAGCTCAGTGTTGTTGTCGGGGGGGGGGGGGGGGGGGGGGGGGGGGGGGGGGACTGTGGAACGCAGGGCCAGGGAAGTCAGTCGTCTCTGGGGACCCTCTCAGCTGTAGCGTTGCACTTGTGCCTCATCTTCCTCGTGTTTGGAAAAGGAGGAGGAGGGGTTGTGCAGACTCATTTTGGGTGTCATGTTACTCACCCCCCCCCCCCTCAGAAATCCCCTGCTATTCATCTGCACACACATCTGACGGTGTGGAGCTCAGCCTCTGCGGTGGCATTTGGGAGGCTCCTGTACAACTGTTGTCCTATGTCAGCCCAGCTTCTAAAGGATTTTACTTCAATTTTCTTCCTCTTCTCATCCGTCTGAATGAATTACATTCCTTTTATTGCATTAGTGTTTTTTAAAATATTTGATTCTTTGTCTTGCGCTCCCTCCCAATTACAAGTTAGGCCTTTCCAGGCCCACGGTCTGTTAACACTGCCTTCAACATCTGTGTCAAGTTCACAGGGTCTTTGTGTGAAGACAAATAACCACAGGTATCCTGTGGTTATTTTCTCAATAATATTCATATTGGCCAAATCCTAAAGGAGAAGCTTGAATGCTTTATTCTGAGGCCCGGCCTTCCTTCAGAGAACCTGGCAATCTCCCGCCCTGTTTTTGAAACTTCCAGGCTGACTGTTGCTGGCTGTTCCAGTGAGAGTGAATGTTAAGTTGGACTGGAAGCCCCTAGAAACAGGATGGGATGACGGGCGGGGGAGAAGGGTGAGGACAGAGGAGGTGTGGGGAGGATTCGGAGGGGTGCAAATGAGTGCCATTGCAATGCAGTGAGAGGTGGTGCTAAAAATACCGGCTGACACATGGGCTCCGACTCACAAGCAGGGTCACAGACAAACACAACCCAGTAACCAAAGAGCTCTCATTCATGCATCACCGGGCAGAGAAACGCACACAGGAGAACAGAGGCAGTCATTGACACTTTCACACATTCAAAGCGGCGGTGTAATAATTAAATACATAACTTTGCAACCACATACTGTATAACTAAACTTCTACACACTGGATCCCTCTGAGTTTGAGATGGCAGGTTTTGTGTTTTTACAGAGTTGCGCGTCAAACAGAGAGCAGAGCCTTTCCACACTCTAGCATGAGCCCTCTGAGCAAATAAACCCAGCTGCCATATTGTTACTCTCTACAGGGGCAATACAGGAATGCTTCTTTGTACACAATGGGTTGAAGGTCCACTTTGGTAAATATTGCTTTTAGGCTTGTACCACGCTGACTATCTGCTGGGAAAGTTTGCTAATCATTGATTACTGGAAGAAAAGAGACACTGTCTGTCTTGCTTTTGTCCCTGTTTGCAGTCTGCTGAGCCTCTACAAACACGGGTGTGGTACCTGTGTGAGCACGTACTGTTGGGCAACTGTTTGTGGATGTGTCTATTTTTGCCATCCATGCACTGAAATTAAGAGAACACCTACAAAGTATTATAACCAAACCCTTTTTTCAAGGCTTCTTACACAAGGCTACTTTGCCTACTTAAACACTCGCTTTGAGACAATATTTTACCTTTAAACTGTAACTTTTAAAAAAATCAAAGTGTAAGGCCACATATATAGGGCAATTGAAATTAAGTGGGACGGACCCAAACCATGAAGGTGTCAAATGTGGAATAAAAAATGTAAAAATTTTGTCCTTCCATCCATTTATTACACCATCTTGAACCAGTTCAGGGTTCTGGGGGATCTCCAGGTTATTCCCCAAGTGGGGAAGTTATATAAAAAGTCACATGATAAATTATAATTCGGATACATTTTCAAATAATACTGTTCTCATGCATGGTATTTGGGTAATGTACACCACGCACCACTTTTGTTTATAGTAATGGAAACAATAACAGAAAGCAATGTAAGACATTCAATCCTCACTACCTCCCACAGAGCTGCTGCAGCACCAGAGAAGGGACAACTGCCACAAGTGGAAATCAGTGTGTGTGTGCGTCTGTATGTGGGAGGACATAGGCTACAGCCTATTGTGGTGTGAATCTGTAGATTGTCACTTTTCAAGAGAAGTGGGATCAGAAGTGGCTGTATGAGGGGAAAAAACATGCCCAAAGAGGTCGGAACTCCCCCGATAGGTAGCTGTGCCTCCTTCACCTCCAGATAACCTGCACACAGCTGCTCAGGAACGACAGCATGCACACACATTAAAGTTTGCGACCCAGCCTTTCACAAGGTGATAAAGCTGGGCATGGTTGCAATATCGTGTTACACATACACACTATTAACACCACAAATGAGAGGCCTGCAGGTCTGTGCACCTGACTATTAAATGCAGCAAAAGTTCAGACAATTATTTCTGCTGGCTTTGATAGCCCTCTAGTGACCGCAGGAGTGTACCAACCAGAGGAGATATAGGAGCATAAGTTTCTATAATGAGGCTCTTGGCATGTTTGGCTGGTCCCACAAAGCCAGGTGGGGCATTTGATTTCAGATGTTGTCTGGTAAAGAAACAAAAAAATGTTGTCCTCAAAGCTTTTCACAACTTGAACAGCAATGTGAGTGTGAGTTTGGGATGGGGGGGAGAGGGTGGACTCAGGGGAGGAGTATAAACCAGGCTAATGAATATTTCTGCTCAGCTTATGCCTCTCATGAAACCAATTCATTTCTCCCCGGTCTCGCCCACATATTTGCCGAGGTCATGTGGAAAGGAGGAATGGGGCAAATACAGTATGTGGGATTGGAGGCAAAGGGGGAAAGAGAACACGAATCCCCACAACAACCTGATTACGTCATGTGAAAGCTTTTCAAAGATGAAAAAAAAAAAACAACTCCAAAAAGCATTCAATTCAAGCCACATGGGTATTACTGTTGTGGCCAATGCTGGCAGCCAAGCCATTCCACGCAGCAGAATTTAATTAACAGTTTTAAAATTTATGGTGTCGTGCCCCAGTAAATCTGGGGTCTTTGTCTGGCTGTAATTACTGCCATACAGGTTTGAGGGCCACAACATAGTTAGAACTCTGACTGGGGAAATGAAGCAGCTCACGGCTCCGCCTGTGAATCAGAAGCAATTCCAGATGATTTCTCACTTCCCCCCTTCGGAGTTTATCCATGCATCAGCAAACTGCTTCTCTGAACAAGATACAAGATGGCATCGAGTCAAAATGATGCAAAACAAAGGGGGTTTCCACCCACTTCCATCTGTAAATAATGATTATGGCGGTTTCAGTGGTAATTATCATCATACTATCTCAACTTGCTCATCAATGGTGCCCAATGGGTCACCATAAACTTAACATGATAATGAGAGGCTGTCAGAGTCCCTCTGACAAGAGGACAGAAGAGGCGTCGAGGCTGTTAAAAATGTGACAAAAGCTGTCTCTACATTGGCTCTGTGATGACAGGGAAACACATAAATCTTCAGGTGAGCCTTGACATTTTTATCAGACGGCTGCGGGAAAATTTTCATTAAACATTGAAAAAGGTGATAATCTATTCCACATGCTTCACAGACTGTGAAGCGCAGTGGTGCAGATGACTTAGATTATGATCTTGGAGCAACTATTGCTTCAAAGAATGTCCCGAAAATTGTCTGACAACATATTCCAATGGAGTACATTTTGACTAGAGTGATTTGGATTAGACGCCTCCTTACACACACAGGCAGTATTTCCAAGTATTGTTACGACTCCTCAGATATGATCAGTCTTGAAAGTGCACATGTCACAGTCTGAGGATGCTATCAGAGTGGGCATCGATGGGATGCTGGATTGATGCCAGTAATCGCTTGAATCTGGATAACCTCAGTTCAGTTTAATTTGAGATCAATTTCCTTCCAAACCAAATATTGCATGTCAGCCCAAATTTTGATCAGAATGTGAGTAATGCTGCCAAGATGTTTGTTTGAGGGGAAAACGCAGCCATGAGACAAAATAACTAAACATGATGGATTTCATTATTTGGCTCACTCAACACTTTTCCAGTTTGACAAGGTTTTTTTAAAGGAGAAAACCAAAGACTTATTACATATCTTAGATAAACACTGGTTGAATATTAATAATTACATAAATATTGAGTTTCAGTGTCTGGTCCCAGGACACTTCAACATGTAGACTGAAGAGGTGTTGGACTGACCCATGTTCAGCTTCTCCTGTAATCAGAAATGGATTCTGCTTTGTGGCCAAAGTTAAGCTGCAATAAATAACGTTTGCTTTAACGCAGCTGTACAGGTAATGATGATGATATTTGAGATAATAAAGAGTAAAGTTACATGGGACCATGACCAACCTTTAATGGCCTAAATTAGAATTTTCATTGTGCTTATGACCAAGTATATTAACAATAACTGGATCCAAAAGTAGATGCTCCATATCCTTTTAAACAGTTACAATCTGTCATCTGCTCAGATGCCCCCTCAAAGATTTTGTGGTTCGGTAGATTCTTCTTCATTTCAAGCTGTCTGATTTTAATATTACCCACTGGGAAATTTACCTTTGATGTAATATAGCAGAAGTTTAATTAGATTTGAGGGAAAGTGCAGCCGATCGTTTGCGTCGATGAGTCTGATCCAGATGCAATTATCTATGTGCTGCAATTCCTCATGAGGTCACCAAACACACCGCGAGACAGCATTGATTGTTCAGGTCTTTGAACATTTCAGAGTTTTTTTTTGGGCAGCATTGAAAGCTCATCTGGAAGAAGTTCCTGTGGCGCCATGACTTGGACGGTCAGAGCGAGATGAGGCCTCCTGGACGCTGATGGCAGCTGACCCGCTCCGGCGCTCAGTGCTGTCAGCAGCCGCTGGAACTCAGGGATGTTTTCATCTCTCTGCTTTCTTTTCAAAAATCTTAAAAGACAAAAGCTCAACCAGGTGCTTCTGAAACTAATCAGACGTGACAGATATGTGTTCTTGACAGATTCAGGTAACAGTAAAAATGAAAGACGACGCGGATGGATGAGGTTTTGACAGTTTTCTTCTTTAATTGCAGAAATCAGTCCAGCAATCATCAGGCAGACTAGGAATGAAATGAGGAATGCAGCAAACCACCTTAACACACCTCTAGTCTTAACACTGGTGTACTAGGCTCTCTAGATTCGTTGAACATTGGGAATACAAAAAAAAAAAAAGATAACTCTGCTGTGTTGATAACAGTGTGGTAGTGTTTGGACCACCTGTGGCAGCAGTGTGACGCGTTGGCCACTGACCCAGCACCACGCTGCAGACACCCCTGGGTGGGCACATGAATCAGGTAGGACAGGGCGCGCCAATACAGCACTCAGGATTGGAGATGTGTCACAGAGATAGATAGTATGAGACTGGTCCAGCAGCAGAAACGGCCCCCTTTTCAAAATGATTTTGGATAAAGTCTGATGTTACTTAAAAAGGTGGACAAATGGAAGCTGTAACGGCCGGATTCACATTCTATGTATGTAAAGGAACTATCTGCATAAAAATATATGTATATATATATATATGTATATATATTTACGGCCTAGAAAAATTTATTTGCTTGGTGGACTCGGCTGCATCGAAATTATTACACTAGTGCAAGAAAAAGAAGCCTTGAGCTGTCCAGAACAAAACCTCTAAATCTTGCAGATGACTAACATAAATTGCCGTTAAAGCAAAGCTTGAGTACTAGATTTAGTCATTTGTCCTTTTTAAAGAGTATCTAATTAAACCTGGCTAGCTGCTTCTTGTCTTAGAAATACTGTTAGCACTGAATATCCCGGTCATTGTTCGAGGACAATACTGCTCATTAAAACACTACAGGTTTCATTTTTCACACAGCCTCGTTCAGCAAAAGGAAATGTCCCCCCCCCCCATCCAAAAATATATATTTAGAATCACAACCAAATTCTCATAAAGGGACCTAAACCAGAATCAAGTGCAGATACACAGTCCTTTTATGGATTTGAAATATTTGCAGAACTGGGTGTGAAATGCTGGTTTTGTTAGTTCTAGCTGGTCGCTCTAGCATCTCCAGTATCCCATCCCACACACACAAACAAGATGTTACTGCCTGTAAAGAAGATTTAGTGTTCATTAACCTCCATCTGTGTTAGTGACTGACACCATGTCAAAGCATCCGATTTGTCTCTTCATCCTTTCCTGAACTTTGGCATCTCAGCTATGAGGTCACTTACTGATGAGGAGACTGAAAACCATTTGGGTGATTATTCCAGGCTCGGGTAAATTATCTTGGTCGTTTGCCTTCGAGAACTACACGCAAAATATTACAAGTTCAAACCAAACCAAACCAAACCCGTTCCTAGAAGAGATTAGAAGATTAAACATTGAGGGAGGAGAAGCAGAGCAGAGGCACAGCATTGAATACATAAATATGCTCTGTATGTCACAGGAAGAGGAAAACTGCACCACTGAATGACAACCGATCTTCTTAATGTACAGAACTGAACGACAGGAGTGGAGATACAAGAAAACACAAGAGGGAATGCAGGCTCGAGAAAACCAAGGAATGAAATCTTTGTAAAGCACACGGGGAAAAAGAAAACAGGAACAGTTTGTTTTTCTCGACTTGTCTCGTTTTCTGCTGGCTCACGCGCACTCGTTTTCCCGGAGAACGTTGTACATGTTGACGGTGAAGCCTGGCGGCTTCTCCTTCCGGCTCTGGTTGCCAAAGCCCTCGTCTTCATCGTCGCCATCCTCATCGTCATCTGCGTCCCGGTCTCTTTCTTCCTCTGGCTCTGTGCTGGACTCCCCATCCTCCTCTTCCTCCCTTTCGCCCGCTCCTTCCTCCTCCGTCACCCTTCCTTGTAGAGCCATAATCTCTGGCAAGTCTGGGTGATTTTCCCAGTGCTCTGTAGGCCAAAAATAATCCCCAGAAAGGTTAACTCTTCAAGTGCACTTGACTGAAATGAGCGGGAGGAAAAGAGCCTTTCTTACCTCTCAGGCAGCTGTAGCCGGCAGGTCTGAGGCAGAGACATAATCTGCCATCAATTGCTAAGCGTAGGAGGCTATTTGCTGCGCGGTACACGTCGTTGCGAGCCGCTTTCGCTGTTTTGTAGCCTCTCCTTTCCGCCCAGGCTGTAGGAAGCGAAGACAGAAAGAGCACTGTGATAATTGCTCTCAGGGACAATTAAACAAATGGTGGTACCGTAATTAAAGGATGAGACTTTACTGCCCATCTTTATTTGTCATAAGATTAATTCCAACAATAAACTTCTCTTTGGCCAAAACTTAATATAGTGTTATGGTCTGGAACAAAGAGCCACAGAGTTGTATCTTTAATTAACTGCTTATACCAAGTCCTGCTCCTATTTGTATTCAGTAAATCACTAGAACTTAACAGCTGCTGTTCTGCACCTCTCTCTGAGACACAGCAATCAGAAATGAGGAAAGGGGATCAAGTGATGACTCACCCTCACACACATCCCAGGCAGACCAGCTGGGTTCTTCAGAGCCCTGTTCTCCTTGTTGGGATTTGCTTTCTTGTAAACTTGGATGCTTGAGCTTCAGTACAGAGAGGAATGGGGTCCTCTCACACAGGTAACCGACTGAGGTGTACGGCTCTTGTAGCTGAGCCACCGGGTAAATTCCTGCCAAAATCTACGGATAATCACATTTTATGAGCATTTTTATTTTTCTTCCAGAAAACACACAAAACAAGAAAAAGCCTTGATGTCTTTCACTGCCTTAGAAAAATGCGAATAACAGATAAATAATCCAACTTCCCAGATGTGTCTTTGTGCTCTTCAACACAATCAGGGCCAGACTGCATTAAATAAGACAAAAAAACAGAAAATCACATCAGCAATCATGACGGATGTACCTGTAGCTGCTTATTGACACGAGAGGGGAAGACCAGTCCGGGACAGTCGCACAGCTTGACTGTGGGGGTGAGGTAGTAGGTCTGGAAGTATTTGGTGTGGCCTGGGGTTCGAGACACACTCACAACCTTCCTCCCAACAAGGCTGTTTATGACAGAGGACTTTCCGACGTTTGGAAATCCTGGAAAAAACAGAGTGATTGAGGCCACAACGGTAATAATCAGCACCACCATTTGTCCACTGGAGTGGGAATCATCTTTGTCAGTGTGTTAGCAGAAGTACGACTTATGAAATCTTACCAATGCATCCCAAAGTAAGAACCCCATCTTTGTAGAGCTCTCGTGACAGGTTGCTCATCTCCATAGCACTATCGCTATGATGCTCCACCAACACAGATTCAGCTCTGTCGTCTGTTTGCTCTCCATCCAGCCGGCCAGAAACCACATCGCTCTGAATCTTCTTCTCCCAGCTGGACAGGTCAACTGAGAATAAACAAAAGATAGGAAACATTTTGAGGAGGGGCTGGTCATCAACCACTACTGAATGAATGGACCAGTGTCATGAAGGATGAAAAGCAGGCAGACTCTTTTTCCCACCTCTCCCTGAGGTGATCTCCTGACATGCTTTAAAGATATCCGTAAGACCTCCAGCGTGATTGCAGTCAGCCTTTCTCCTCATCCTCTTCTTCTGGAGAACTGGAAGAAAAGGAATGAGAGAAAGTATTACCATAACAAAGACAGCAGTAACATTTAGGCCCCAGTTTCCTCTCAGCTCCCTGGCTCTCCTCACCTGTGCTGTAGGGTTGTCCGGGGTGGGAGGTGAAGCACACGATTTGCAGGTGGGGGAACTGAGAGGTCATGTAGTGCTTCCAGGCGATGACCAGAGGGGGAGGACACAGGTCGGCTTTGTTCAACACCAGGATGACCTGCTTCTGTAGATCTCCTGTGATGTAATGGTAAAGAGCTGGAGGAAACTGCAGCGCCTGAAAGAAGACACACTTTCTCAGAATGATATTCATGGCCTGTTCATCAAATAAATCACCAGATTGTATCATTATTAATAGGAACACAATTAGTTGTGCCATTTTTAACTTTTGAAAGTGTGTCAAAGCCTAAAAAAAACTGGGTTTTGTCATTGCTGTGAAATTGAAGAGCAAAAGACACTGACACAGCGGTGTGTCAAGATCCCATCCATTAATCAGCTAAATCAAAGCAGAAAATACTCAAGGAGACCACAATGAAAGAAAGCAAAAGCCAAATACATTGTCAAAACTGTCCTAATTATCAGATTATTTAATCCCTCTCCAGTAGATGTCATAAATTCATACTATTCCTATTTTCCTGCAGACGAGTTTCATTAGCAAAAGCAGAGTACAATCTGTCCATGTTGACTCTTTAGTTTAGTGACCCTCTGGTCACAGTCTCCACCTAGTGGTCTAACTAATTCTCTTAAAATGTTTACCTACCGGGTGCCTGATATCAACAATAAGGAGGATGACATCTGACATCTCCAAAACTCTCCACAGCTGTCTCCATGTCTGAAATAAGTCCAAAAAAAGCAGTTAGATTCAACATCTGTGGAATTATGAACAACGTGTTTAGCTGGAGGGTTTGTTTATGAAAATGACTGTGAATCCAATGTAATGTAAATGCAAATTCAGAGTGTACATAAGCTGTTCAGCACAGCAGACGCTGTCAGACAAAGCCAGATGTTTCCCTTGTTTGTACAGTTAACAGTAGAGACTAAACAAAGAGACTAAACATTCGTTCCAAAGATGCAATAGGGAATGAAAGCTGACTCTGAATGAACAATGATGTTTCATTGGTGCTGCTGCCTGCGTTTCCACCATATTACCTTGTTTCTGCTGCCCTGAAGGGGCAACATCGGAATCAATGGAGCTCCAGAGCTCCAAACTAATGCCTTATTCATGCCAGACGCCCTGGTCTTTATGTGGGCAACTTGTGACGTTAATTCAGTGTCCAAAGTAGCAAAAGTGGCACTTAAGACACATTCATTGCAGAGCCAACTCAGGGGTTTTTACTACTAAAGAACATGATCAGGAGTCAGGCATCGTCCGTACACAACAGTCTCTACCGTGTTGTGTTTGCAACATCTGCAGTATCTGCCCCTTTCGTTTTGCTGGGCTGTGCAGATGTCTAAACAGTGGAACCTGCTTGCACAATCTTCCCATAAGCTCCAGATGTATTTCCAAACATGCTGCTCATGCAGCGTGCAAAGGCTTACAAATATCAGGTGCTAAACAGACAATAAAGCCACCAAAATGTAAGCCATTTTTTTTTCTAAGGTTGAAAACAGGAACTATATGCTCATGCCAAGTCTTGCTCCATGACATATGTTTCACAAATTGAATGATGCTATTAGAAGAGATGAAAAAGATAAAGAGATAAGACAGGGAGGCTTGTTCAAAGTTTTACTGGCACCCTATTTTGTAGAACTGAGTCACTGACGACAAAAATGGAAGAAATCCAGAGCCCTGGTGGTTATAGGCTGAAATTAACCAGTTTAATCTTAGGTCTGTGCTTATTGGTAGTTGAGGAGCTTATTAATCTATGCGTTAGTTTTGTGTTACTTTTCCATCTATTTAATGTTTGGTTTCAACTCAAAAAGCTATCAGCTGTAGATTACTGAGTGTCACCACCGGCTGCTAAAACCCCGCTTCTGCTGTGATGCGTCCTCTGAGCTCCGTGCGCCGACATCAAATGATATGCCGGATTTTGGATACATTTTAGATGTATTCTTTTTTTTAAAGAGGCATTGCTTTCATAGTCTGGAAAAAAATTAACAAAAAAGCACACTGATGATATATTAGGATGTTTCCTTAAAGGAGAAAAGCAGGCAGTATACATGCATATTAAGTGTCCAGAATTTCTTTCCAAACTCTATGCGATCCAACCTAAACGAATGAAATAATCAGCCTATGCTATTTCCTGGCGCGATACATCGGATGTCTTGGAGACGAGAGTGGAAAGTGAAGCCTGCTGGGTAATCAGCACTTTACAGGCAAACTCATTAAGAAGCAGCATTACCTCATGCTGTTATCTGATGTGGATGGACTAAACAGGATTCCCAAGTACTGATATCGTACAGGAAAAGTGTCAAGATTTTGTTCCGTCACCTAAGGAAAGGTTATAATGTAAAAAAAAAAGACTCCATGACTGGATTGTGAGCTTACTGCTCTGAAGTGGGAAAGGAGAATTTGTAAGGAATGCCAATACAGCTCTATTCAGGCAAGGGATGCATAACGGTAATGGCTTCATTGATTTGCTAAAAAGAGGACTTTCTGTCATTCAGACATGCGTCACTTTAAGTCAATATCCTTTTAAATAAAGGCCAAAGGGCACATGCATCATTTCAGCTTTGCAACAGACTGAGCAGTACATCAAGTGAGGCACAATGGGAGTTTTCTTCTGCAACAGCCTGACTAATAAAGTTTAGCTGACAATTGTGCTGCATTCAAAACACACAAGTGATGGTTGGAAGCATATGAAAATACAACATTTTGTAAATGCTAAAGCTTGTGGGATATGCAGCGAGATCGGGGAACTTTTGGAGTTTTATTTGTTGCAAAATTGTTAATCTAGTTAATTTTCTCCTTCATTCGATCAATGCGTCAAATAAGAGCAGCTGAACCTCCACTCAAAGAGGATTAGTTTGTTTAAGAAGAGTGAAAAAAGCTGATGTGGTAAGAAAAATAATGGAATGAATGTGCCAATCACTTGTTATGTTCTGTCAGATTAATCTGAAAAGATTACCCTGGATCAAATAAAGACCCATCTCAAATCATGCATGGCTATCCATTAATGTAGCTGCAGAGTATTTGGAATTAAACTGTTAAAAGAAATCCACAAATATTACAAGGTTACACTAAGACTGTCCACTTTTTATGTAAAATCACCCAGTGCTCATTCAGATGTGAAGAAAGGGTTTTACTTCACAGAGACAAACGTGCAGGACTGAAAGGGACTTAACTGACCTACTCCCAGTCCACTAGCCAACTGGTGAAGTCAAACCAAAAATGTAAGAACTTTCACTGTAGTATAATATAAACACAGGTGTGAAAAAGCGATATATGACAAAAACTGCCCAATGAATAGTAGTGGTGACCTGAGCATTATCAGAAGCTTCTACTGAGAAACGATCACCTTTGTTTAAATCAGCTCAGACGGCAAACTGATATAGAGAAAAAATCTTTAGCACCATCATCCTGTTGCTAAGTTACCTCCAGATTGTGCTCAAAGTGGCTTAGAGAGCCAGGTGGGTTTCTGGAGTGCAAATCCTCCAAATAATCTCTGTACGACTTCTCCTCTTTCCTCATGAGGCTCTCTCGTGTCATCTCATAGGTCCACGATGGGCGGCGTGGAAAGTCAAGGCCTGGAGGTGTATAATCAGGAGTCAGCATGTAATGCAGCGATCCATTACATGAGTCCACTCTGTTCATGTCATGAAAGAAGCACCTGACCTTTCTCTGACGGGTAGACGTCATTGATGTTAACCTCCATCTCTTTGTCAGAAACTGGCTGCAGAACTGTGTCCATGGCTAGCTTCTTCCTCCTCTCCACTTCTTCTTTACTTTCTTTCTCAAAGTGCAGTCGAAACCTGAAAAAACAAAAAAACAAGTGATAATCAATAATCTCTTGAACCTATGATGGGCGAGCCAGGATTGATGTGCCCTCATTGTGAATATGTGTCAGACATGAAAGTACAACGCATAAACAGTGGAAGGGGGATATGGTGAGCCGCCAACTATATCACTTTGAGAAAGAAAAATAAATGTATCATGTCATGCAAACATTAAAATATTAAGTCAAATTTATGTCCTTAACGATAATGGGCACTGTCCTCAACAATCTGCGCCTATCTGTGCTGCCGCCTTACTAGAAAAAGATCAAGGACAGGTTTTCTTTTTAAATTAGGTTAGAAAAGAAAAATGTGCTGAACACTTAATCTCACTACCTTTTTATTTCGATACAAAGCTCAAGTATAAGGAAATATTTCTAATAATATACCATGCACTGTTGCAGATATGATCTCTTGATTTAAAATGAGAAAAATGAAAAATAAATAAATACAAAACCCATTAAAACAGAGTCTGTTCAAATCAAGAAGAGATCGCGTCAACGGGTAAACGTGATGTCTGAGTTAATGAAAAGCCTCCTTTGTAGTACAGACATTTCTTGATGATGAAACATACTTGCATAATAGATGCCAAGAGGGCACGCTGGCTCTTATAAAACAAACAGCTGCATGATAATCAACTTTTTTTTCTGAAAAGCTGAAAAATTACAGCCCATTTGAACTTTAAAGAAATAATAGTTAGAAGAGAGTGTTTAGACAGCAGGTGACAGCAGGAACGTAAAATAAAAGAATATCCAAGGTTTAATCCATCCATCCATTTTCTTAACCGCTTATTCACTGATGGGGTTTCGGGGGGACTGGAGCCTAACCCAGCAGTCAATGGGAGAGAGGCGAGGTACACCCTGGACGGTCCGCCAGTCCATCACAGGGCCACACAGAGACACACAAGGAGAAACAACCACGCACACTCACACTCACTCCTAAGGGAAATATGGAATGTCCAATCAACCTAACGTGCCCGCGGACACAGGGAGAACAAACAAACTTCACACAGAAAGGTCCTGGTTCCCCCGGGACTCGAACCCAGAACCCTTTTGCTGTGAGGCGATGGTGCTAACCACCACACGACCGTGCTGCCCCCCAAGGTTTAACTTAAACCGTTAAACCAGGTAAGCTTCTTGTAGATTCTCTAAATGAGTGTAGAACAGACTGGTTACTCTAACCTGTTAGGGTCATGTCTCCCTTCTCTGCTGTGGGGCTGCTGATTCATTCTTCTAATGTCAGTGGTCTCACTATCTGAGGTGTCTGACGGGTGCTCTCCTCCTCTCTCCACACTTGCATTGCGGCTGCTTGGTCCAGAACCCGTGTCCCCTGGAAAGCAAAAGGAGAAATCCCAATGTACATCAAGATCTGAATTCAGGTTGGCTCTAAACTACATCTGATAATGCACACTGATAAACAAATAATTACACAGCGTCCAGATTAACCGATTAGCTGTCTGTAAAGGCGTGTATTCAGGCGTTTGCATGTATGCAGACGTGAAAAAGACATCGGTTATTTCGTTGTTTACATTGATCACAAGGGAGCAGAAATGAAAACAAATAGTTTTCATGCTCATCGCGGAGTAGGTAGAACGAGATTCAAAGAAAATAAAGATCCCAATGAGTCACTGGAATGTAAAACACGATCAAAGGTGTTCCATTAAGCTTTTTTAAATCTGATGTCAGCAATAACATCAAAATAGCCACAAAGACGCAGAAAAATTCTATCAAATGTCTGATCATATGGGTGTACTTATCTAGCACAAGTAGGTGTTTCAGTCCTCGTGTCCTGCCATTACTGCTTACAGGGAGAACCAGTGACAGCAATGCCTTTGCTCAGTTTCACGGCTTATTTGACCTCGTTTATGTGCAATAATGCGAAACAAACATGCTTCATATAACGCTTTTAAAACAATCAGGTTAGCTCTACACAACTCCGACACAAAGTTACTGCCTATCACAGAGAACAATATAAGAGACCACATAAGTTAAACGAGTATTATGTTGTCTTAACTTAATATATCAACCCTGCTTGACACAACAGAGCGACACAGGCACTTTAATACTAAACTGAATTTCGCCATGGAGCTAAGCGCTAATGCTAGCATGCTAACGGCAAAATTTAGTTACCTCTTTTTCTCTCCCGTTTGACCTGGAGCTGTTTCTTCTTCTGTTTGTTGCTAAATGGCTTTTTCCGCGGCATGTTCAAGAGACACGATGTCTGATAAATAAATATAAATAGCTATGAAATCTGTGTCTCTTATCAGAGCCTCTCAAACAGCCGTTTAATTGGCGTTATTTACATGGATGAAGTTTCTCGACTCCTACACTTTTTTAGTGACGCCATATCCACTGCAGACTGCGGAGAATGGAGGACCAAACCAAGTACATAGGTACACAAACCTGTCGATTTTTAACTATTGGTAATTCTTTATCGTTTGTTATTTTGAGTTACCTTTCAGATGGCCAATAGTCATGCTATATGTACCATTATATACTTCTAGAAAACACGACTAAATAGATAAACAGAGTAAACCCCGTGTGTTCCAATGGTACAGTCCGCTTTTGTAAACACCTCTCAAATTTGCACATTCCAGCAGAGTAGCCCTAACAAGCCATCACCGGCACGATGAGAAGTCAATATATGCATAACACCACCAACACAGTCCGAGAATTTTCAGAATTTGTTTCGAAAGCGTCACATTTCTTTTAGAGCTATAAAAGGGATGTTTCTTATCAATGAAAGAATGTTGAAATGTATCATGTAGGCTATCTAAGAGAAGAAAATGAGATACTCATGCATTTATGGCACTTAGAAGAGTTCATGTATTTGCTACCAGAGAAAGGTGAGAAATGAGAAATACTTTAGAAGGTTTATTTTGTTATAAGATGAAAGAAAAACTGCACAAACTTCAAATTCTCATATATCTGTAAAGAACTATTAGAAACATTGTTACTGTGGAGATGTAATAGCAAGAGCACATTTGGATAACATTACTTTATGGACATACACACAAAGCAGTACACTGGATTACATGAAACATGAAGTGGTACATCACTCCCCAAAAGGTCATGTGAAAGCCAGAAAACAGGTCTAAATGAATTCCTTTACACGCACAATCATACTTTATAAATTGATGGGTATAACTCCATAAACCTTTCCATCTATTTTTTCTTTCCTAAAAAGGAAATAACCTCTATGTCCCTTTTAAGGTTAAAAAGATCACAAGCATGTACGTTACATCATAGCAGAGGTAATAACACTGATGTAAAAACTGAAAGTCTCTGAATGAAAGTATAAAAATTTACCTTCACAGTTGACTATCAGTTTCGCCAACAGAGAAACCATAAATTGCTATGGTCAAAATTGTATTTATATGGAAGAGCAGAGGGTGGTAACAATAAAAAGAAGCACTGTCTCTCAGACGCTTCCTGTCATAAAACCATCACTGTGATGGACTGAAACATTGCAGCCTTTACATGCACTTCCTACTCCGGACAGCTAAGCAAAATTAAACAAATCAAATGTGGTTGACAAAAAAAAAAAACTTTAAAAAACAATTACAGTCTTTAGTATACTGAGTCAGCATATGATTTGTCCTGTCTGCCTCAAATCATTATTCAGGCATGGTAATGTGTCCAAAAGTTTGTGTATTATTATAATATTGCTTTAATCCTTGACTCTCCATCCTCCATCTTGAATTTATTCTAATGTCCCCGCAAAATCCCAACAGTCCCTTCTTTAATCACCTCTAAGAGTTGAGGTGCTCCACTTGAATGGTGGATGCGGACACAGTGAGACAGTGGTCCTTGTGGGAATTAATGTTAGTCACACTGACTGGTTTGTACTGGATGTCGCTGGGAGAGACTGTCTTATACTGATGCAGGTCAAACGGACATGGCATGGTGTCTGTCTGGGGGTAGCTGTTCTGCCCCTGCTGGCCTCCCCCCGCTGCTCCGCTCCCAGCTCGGCTCGCTCCTCCATCTGCACTCTCTCCTCTGCTCTGAGCTCCAGCCTGGCCAGGGGCCTGGCTTTGGTTCTGTTGTGCTGGCTGTGCTGCCACCACTGCTGTCGCAGTCAACTGGTCTGGATTGTGTTTCTCCATGTGTTTCACCAGATACGTCTCCTGAGATGAGGGGAGGATAGGTAGAGGGGAAACAGTGGACACATGACTACACGATGTAAAGCAGCTGCCAGGCGTCTGATACCAGTGAGGCGATTCATAGCGTTTCATGTAGTAATGTTCTTCAGGAATGGACATTTGTCTTACTGAGGTGTACGTGCGGTTGCAGAGACCACATGAGTAGATCCTGGCATGTTTGACTGTGTGTGTGGACATGTGCGCCTCCAGGCTCCCTGCATCTATGTATCCTTTATTGCAGTTGGTGCACTTGTACGGCTTGTCTTTGTTGTGCTGACGCCGGTGGGACTGAGAGAAGACATTTTGGGGGGAAAGAAAAGGAAGCAAAAAAACAAAACATGTAACGCTTTAAAACAGTCTCAGGTCTTGGAAGAGTTCGGCGACACCACAACACATTCAGAAGGAGCGAGCAGAGTTATTTCACACCTGTAAATTTGAGAGTTGCGTGAAGGATTTCTCACAGCCCGGGTGGGTGCACTTATATGGCCGATCTCCGGTGTGAATTCTGACCAAGAAACACGAGCAAACGTACACATGGACATTATTCTGCCACTTTCATGGTGATATAACCTGACCACAAAAAAAAACAGAAACGGGCCCTTTAGAAACCCAAGACCAGTGTTTGACTTACCTGCTGTGCTGCTGAAGGTGACTGAGCTGTCTGAAGCACTTCTGGCAGTATGAGCAGGTGTAGGGTTTCACTCCGGTGTGGATGCGGATATGCTGAGCCAGGTAGCTGGAGTTGGCAAATGACTTGGTACAATGAGGACACTTGTGAGGCTTTGACTCTGTGTGGTTCCTGAGGAGGGCAGACAAGAGGGGAAAAAAGACAAGGAAAGGTGATTATAAGGATTAAGTGAGATTTCAAAGAAAATGAACAAAGATTCTTTAAATTTGACCAAATCTTAAAGCAAAAAAGAATATCTCACTTGTGCCAGGCATATTTGTAAATTTAGCTTAACGTAACATACAACAATTAGATTCAGCTATTATTCAACAAAATACATTTTGAATTTGTTTAAAAGCATCAACAATTTCTTGGGTAAAAATTGAAGGTTAGGGTGACATGTATTCAAACTATAACTGTACTAACCCAACATAATAAATGTGTTGTGTTAGTACAGTTTTCCATTTAAAACAGTGTGAGATTGATTTGCAAATAATTGGTTTCTGTATAAATTTACAGTTTTCACATCTTTGCTTTTAGAAAACAGGACTGCAACAAATGAATATGTAGTCATGGTTTTATAACTGCATCAACTCAGATAAACAGGCCTCCAGAAATTAATCATGGGTGACATGATAAGATAGAAAAGACAAACAACACATAAATTATAGCACAAGGAAACACTGCAGCAAAAGATCACAATCTGAAGATTCAATGGAGAGAGAGAAAAAAAGCATCAATCATAAAGCTTCACCACCAATGGTGGATTAGTAAACAGTGAGGAATGATGAGATGGAGGTGACCAGTTGAAGTTTTTTTAGTTTTAAAATGTGAATGTATGTTTCTAGGAATGACGCAGTGGCTACAAAAGTGATAGGACATGCAGGCGAAAGAAGCAAGAACAAGCAAGTGGAGGAAGAACACAACAACAGGGAAGCAAGATCTGTGCATAAACAAAAAGGAGGAGGGAAAAAAACAGCTAAATATTCTCAGAGTATGAACAGGTGGAATACAAGTCCATGCATTTTAATGTCCATTCTGATTATCGTATAAATTATGAAAAATCTTTTCTTTTCTGCCAGGGCTGCGACTTGAAAGGTCTAATATGAATTCTAATTTTCAAAAAAGGTCACTGGATGGAACAAGCGGCATGTAATATGCATCGGCACACCACTCAGCCGTCTTCCTACAGAAGAATAGGAAGACAGGAGGGGACTAAAGGGGACCTGGCAGGACAGGTTAGGAGCACAGGGAGTATGGCACGGGGCTGGTAATGGAAGGAGGAAGAGGGGGGTCTGCAGTACCGTGTGTGCTGCTGTAAGTGACTGAGCTGCCTGAAAGATTTCTGGCAGTAGGAGCAGGTGTAAGGCTTGGCCCCACTGTGGATGCGGATGTGCTGGGCCAGGTAGCTGGAGTTGGCGAATGACTTGGCGCAGTGAGGACACTTGTGGGGTTTGGCCTCTGTGTGCGACTTGGAGTGGATCTGCATGTCAGACTTACTGAAGAAGGTCGCCGCACACATCCGGCACCTACAGGCGGAGAGACACAGAAATGGGAGGGCAGGATGGAAGACCGGGTACGAGGAAGAGGGAAGAACAGGCAGAAAGGAGACCCCCAGGAATCAAGGGAGATGGGAATAAGGGGGATTTAGACACGGGGGGCAGGGAGGGAGGTATAAGACAACGATGAGTGAGACGAGGGAAAATGAAAGACAAAAAAAAAAGGATGGAGACAGAATCAATGTAGACAGAAATGGTTTAAATAAACAGTTACCCACATTCAGACAACATAGAAAAATGTAAAGGGAGAATTTAGTGAGACTGAAGAGGAAAAGTGCACAAATAAAACAGAGAGAGGAAGAGCATGCCCTATCAAAACAAATAAGGGGGGGAAAAAATCGACAAGAGAGGCAGGCTCATGTCCACAGTGGGCAGAAGCAGAGCGCGCTACGAAGCAGGGATGCATTCCATTTCTCAAATTCAACAAAGACAACAACCAACCATCTGCAACTAAGCCGGCATGTCCTGCCAAAGCATGCAGAGAAGAGTGTTTAAGAGGGTCACGGTGTGTGTCAGCGGAGCCTACATCAGATACTAAGAAAAGCTGAGCATCGATGCAGCCACAGCGAGGATGCACAGCAGGCGCTTTTCATCTCACACCATACCTGTATGTCTTAGTGCTATCTTTCGGGCCGTGGTCCTCGTCCTCGTTTGACAGCTCATATGGGTCCCCAGGATGATGCTGCAGAGCAACCTGCTGCAAAAATAGAAAGCAAAGAAAGTTAGTTACCAATTCATTACATCTCACATCTAGTTTCCCCAACTGTTGCTGTTACCTGGCCGCCAGCTGTCAGATGGGCCAGTATTAGCGTGTCATTTCCTGGTCCACCAAGAGGAGTGACTCTGGACAGCGCCGTCTTCTTCTTCCTCCCTCGTTTAGAGGGTGTTGGCATGACGACCACATGGGACGTCCCGTCCCCTTGTTTTTTGTCTGTAAGGACATTGACAACTGTAGCTCTAAGGGGTTTATCAACGACATGTTTTCTCCCCCAAAACAAGTGCTTTTTCTTCCATAGTGATGGCTGAAGTCTTTAGGTCAGACACTGCCGTGTCAGAAGTACGAGGGACAAAAATCTACCAAAACTAAAAACAATATGGATTAAAAGTAAGATGTAACATCCAGTTTTTGACTAATCGCTAATGAAGGCTGAGTATCTGTGGTTAAATTACCACTCAATGCTTTCATGCAAAATCTGTTTGGGAGATTTTTCTCATAACTTTCATAGCTAAAAACAACAACTCATTTGTGAATAAAAGCAACAGAGCTTTTTTCCCATTTCTGTGAGGGCCCAAAGCCTGATGATTTGTGAACCACGTCTCTTTTGCAGAGATGTTTCAAGTTTGTTTTACTATCGCTATGGACCGTGGTCAGAATTGTATTTATATGGTAGAGTATCAAGAGCACTGATGTACCATCAATTTATTCAGATTTTTTTATTTTGATGGAACATCAAAATCAATTGTTTAAATACTGAATTTCAGCAAAGACTGTCAGCAGTGTCTGACTGGTGTTACATGACGTTGGCTACCCTGATGCTTTGCAATCACCTTTTTTATCAAATTACGGTGGGCGCATTTCACAAAAAAAAGTGTTTAAAAGAAAACCAGATTAAGGCATGTCATTACACAAGATGGATTACACTGTATAAATGACTCACCTTGAGAGTGGAGTGCTGAAACAATCATGGTTGTTGCTGTGTGACCAGATACGAATGACTGAGAGGAGGTGGGAGAGACCAGCGTTCCCTGAGGAGTCGTGATTACCAGACCAGCTGCACAGAGGAGGACAGACAATAAATTACATACTGACAAGAACAATGTCCACTATGTATGGAAAATAGTATATGTATATTTTGCATTGTATGCTCAACATAAGGAAAGATTTGGACAGCATTATAATTGGAAAAAAAACAGTATCCAAGTATCCAAACAACCAACTCCTGTACCCCTTTTGAGGTCCAGCCTGTGGTGGTAGCACAGTATGAGAGGCACATATGTTAATTTTACTCACAAGCTGTCCTGTTGGCAACAGTTGTTCTCATCAACTAAATCTTTCAATGCTCCGTTGTTATTCTATTAGTCAGGGGGAAGCTTTGGCGTTGCGCTGTACTAAAATCATCCTCCAATTGTCAGACATTATGTCCACGAAGTCGGTGCCAAAACTGAGAAGGCAGGTCCCTGAAGGCCCCTCTGCGCAGAAACAGGCTTACCTGCTGTCATGATGCCCGTGGAGGGTACCGGCAGCACCGTGATGTTCTGGGTGCTGTGGGGCGGGTGGAGGTGGGCCGCGCTGCCAGCCTGCCCGCCTCCATCTGTCTTAGCCCCAGGTGTGGGGATGGTGAGCAGAGCCGTCTGATAGTGGGACGCCGAGGAAGGAGAGAACGAAGCATTCTTCTCCTGCTGCTCCTTCACCTTATTCAGGAACATGGCATTCTCGATCTGTCGAGGAGGCCGAGAGGCACGGTCAACCTCACGAATGCAGTTCAGAGCCGCATAATTCTGCATGAAGTGGCACATTTTCTTGAGTTTGCCACAACAACCGAGTGATTCTTACCTGTCCCGGCACGGTGGGGACAGGAGACCAGAAGTATGATGAGTTAAAATGAGAGTCTTCCATTATTTCTGTCGAGACACAAGAGCAAGAAAGGTAAAAGCTTTAAAAACTTGATCTCAAAACTGGTAAAGTCACACTTAACCACACATGAAATTATCTAAATGCTCCGACAAACCACCTCTCTCCACATTAAAGAGGCGAGAATCAGAAGCATGCGCTGGAGAAATTCCAGATGGGTTATGGTTGAAAGAGGGGAGATGGGATCAAAGCTTTTCTATCAAACACCTTCTTCTCTTTCTGCAAACTGTGATAAGTGCAAGGCGCTGGCATGGCATTCATCACTTGTACAGCAGTGTACAGAGCAGGGAGCTAATCCCTCTCAGTGTCGGTGATTTCAGGTTGCTGGCCATGGCAGAAAATGGGCTGCCCTGAGAGGCTGGAGACCCATTTCCTCTTCTTCTTGCTTTACACAAAAAGCTGCTCTGCACTTTGACTGAGTGATTCATTATATTGTTTTCCCCAAATGTCTCACACAAGTTTCTTAAACATACGGCAGACTTTTCACATAGGTGGTAGCAATCCTTCCTTTACTTCATCTGGTCCACGTCCATTGAATTTTCTAAAGTAAGGTACCTCTTTAAGCAAGGATCGAGAATCATTCCTTTAAAGAAAGGTAAATAAATAAAAATAAACGTTCAAAACAAATAGCAGAAAAGTTCAGTGCCAGCAAAACAAGCTTAATAATTGAGAAACAGCACTATATACTTGTGTAGCTTGTTCTTTTGCAATCCCATGACTAAGTAATAGCAACGGTATCTTCCCACACCTATGGGCCTTCTTGTTCAAGCGTGTATCTTTTCCCGACACATTACAGTTATCAGGGCTTTAAACGCAAAGCCACAAAGTGAAAAAAATCTAAATTAAATAAGGCTTGAAACTGACTTTGACGTGAAAAGCCTGGTGAAAAGCTTTAAGTAACTAGGAGACTTTTAACAGTCAGGGATCCTGAAACGAAGCCAGTGAGATGCATTTCCAGGCCAAATACTAATGTTGTCACATGTGCTTTTTCATCCTGTGACATGCTAAATGCCTTATGCATGAAAATCCTGCCAAACAAGTTAGCAACTGGCAGAGAAAGAAGCGGGAGCTGTTGGGGCCGCTGAAGGATTGTGGGTTCTTGAAACACTTCCTGAGTAATTCAGTAGAGGGAACTGCAACAACTTACACTTACTGTGTAAAATACACATACACGTATAATAAATGTATAATACCACATGTATATATATAAAGGAGGTAAAATGATCATGTTAAACAGCATAGTGTTTGGCCCCACACATATGTAATTCCTGTTTTTATTAGATCAAATTATGGATTTGTGATCACAAAAGAGTAAATCTCTACTAACTACTGTCTAATGTTAAGTGGTGTTCCCAGCAGATCCAGCTACTTAGCCAGTAAATCTGGAATAATGGCTGGTATAAAACGCTACATGTTGGATGAATGTTGTGTTTTCAATAAGACGCAGCTGAGCAGCAGGACTCCATTTCGGCCCCTTACATGTTGGGGTTAACAGGCCCGACCTGCTGATTACCATGCAGTTAGCAGACAGAGTCTGGGCTGCCCTCCCGCCTGGAAGAAAAAACAAGCAAAGAAAAAAAAAAAAGCAAAAGGATGAAAAAAACTGAAGCGCAGAAGAGAAAAAAACCAACAGACCATCCTCACAGACTTCCGGCTGTGGGGACGGGTGGAGAGGCGGCAGCAGAGTCGTGCATTTTCTACGAAAAATTACCAGCGACTGCATGGACAACAGCGGCGTTTACCGGTGCCGATGCCTCCGTCTTCCTCCACGGAGCTCCGAGCGGCCGGGACTGTTTGGACTCAGGGTCCAACTCTGTCAAAATTCCCGCAAATCAGTGAACTTCTTTTCCGTCTCGCTCACTCTTTTTTTTTTTTTCTTTTTTCCCCTCCTATGAGCCAGCTGCCTTGTCTGAGCTTCACTTCCTCCGGATAAGGTCGTCAGACAAAAGGAGTGCGTTTCGGTGATGTCACTTCCGGTTTCGGAGGGTCGGTTAATTTAAAAACGTTTAACACCTCAGCCCTACAGCCGGTGGGCTGGTTTTCCAGCACCAGGAGAAACTGCGTTGCTTTACTAAAAAAAATAACCAAATCCAAGAGTGACAATTTCACGTTGTCGCGTGTGAAGTGACAAAGATGATGCCTTCAGGCGGCATCGGAATTAACAGAGCTTGGTGGGCATTGAAGACTGTCCAAACATTGATTGTCAAAGGATTTTTCAGGGTAAAGGTGGAGAGGAAAATTTTGAGTTTGACCTTAGGGATGTATATCATCCCTTTGGAAAGGGCAATTGAGAAACTACAGCCTAACTTATGAAGTGTTTTTTTAAATATTGAATTTTAAATGTGGGCCTCTCAACATTTTTCAATGTGTTTTAAACAGCTATATGTATGTAAAATGTGTATCTTTTCTCCAGCTGTGTTTTAAAGAATCACAATCACCCAAATGAGACTACTTCTCTGTTTTCGTCTCTTTTCTCTGTCTTATATTTCCACTTGGAAGCTCAGATATCCCAACTATCGCCGGTGCATTTGAAGGCATCGCGGCTCCACTCTGAGGTTTACCGGTGTTGTGCGAAAAAGTGAATGTTTGCGAGAATCTGATTAAGCTCGCGGTAGCGCGCACCGCAGCTGCTGAGCGATACCGTAAACTTGCTTTTCTCTGGATTAAACGGTCATGACATGCAGATACACACAGTTGCATTATAATATAGGCCTTATTAAATTATAATATAGGCCTAATTAAAGATTCGAAAGCTTAACGTTTGTCACATAACGGCAGTTACGTGACAGACATGTTTCTATACTCGGTCTGATGACTTTGTGTAGCCCTGACATTGGAGACTACACTACAATAAATATGATTCACTGGAGGGTTTTCGATAAAGATATGATAACTTTTGCAACGATCCTCGTGACTCTGCATTGTTTCTTATCTGATCTGGCCGTATATAGCACGAGTTTCCCATGTTTATATTTGTTTAGCAGTTTTCAATCGGTTTTCACCTGTCCAAAATTGATTGAAGGCACAGTATAGTCACTCAAAGGTTATTTCTACCTAAATATGACTAGATTTCCTTCAGGAGATGCATGATTTAAAGATCTGAGCTCACAAAACAGCTTGGAACTCTTTTAAAGGACCATTACAACACAAAATAGCCATTTTGACTTGCAAAAAATGTATTAAAGCCCAAATGCTGTCATTCAAAGGGGATATCTGCCCAAATATGACTTGATTTCATTCAGAAGCATCTTATTTTAAATAGAACAAGGCATTTTTAGGCAAAAATCACCTTTCTCCAACCACATTTGGCCTTTAATCAATTTCTAGCAAGGTGTTTTGACCAGCCGACTTGCTAGAAACTGATTAAAGCCCAAATACTGTCATTTAAAGGGGATATCTGCAAAAATATGACTTGATTTTATTCAGAAGCATCTTATTTTAAATAGAACAAGTCCTTTCTTCAACCACATTTGGCCTTTAATCAATTTATACACAGCTATATAATTGCAGTCTCTGTGGCTGTGCAAGTTTAAA